TAAAGCTAGAGCAGCACATGAAAGCTAGAACAGCACATGAGTTAAGTGTTGAAATGAAGAATCTGTGAGTAGCCTAAACAGAATTTTATATTCTTAGAGTTTACAGGTGATCATAGCAAGCACTCTTGAAGCATGCAGGGAGCGAGAAAGGAATTCTTAATATTAATCTGTTTATTGCTGGACTGGGCTTTTCAGTGCCTTTTTTTTTTTTTTTCTCCCCCTTCAAGCTTATTTCCTCTTGTTATGATACATACTTTCTTCAGCCTGCTGGTTCCAGGAGAGAACTGTATACTTTGAGTGTATCTAAATACTTGACTCCTGCAAGTACTGTAAGGTAAAAATACATGCACATATGTTGCGTGTACTGTGACAATTTGATCCAAGTACTTGGCAGGCCTTATCTGATTAGATATTCACGAACAGCTTTTTGTGAAGTAGGTAATGTATTTTAATCTTATTTCATTAAACTTTGGGACGTGATGGAGTGAAAGACAAAAACATTGTAAGGGAGGAGAAGAATCTTGCCCCAAAATGCTTAGAGGGAAACTGTTTGAACTCATTACACATTATGAGTCTCAGATAAGCAGGTAAAGTGATTCACAGTAGAGTTTCCACTGAAGTTGACAGAAGTCCTACAGAAGCAAAACTTGGCTGATGAAGCTAGATTAGCACCTGTTCAATACACTGATTTTTGTTGATGGGATTATATGATCACATTTGAATTGATTCTTCTGTAATTACCTCAGACTCTGTGTCATACAGAGAATACAAACCAGTATGCACGTGGTTTAGTTGCTTCGCGAGTAAAGCAAGAAGAAAGCAAATTGATGAAGGCGCATTTGCAGATATGGGAGTTAAAATTCCTTAGGTTCACCCATAGTTAGCAGCTTTCAGACCTTTTCAGTAGGACCCCAGTGACTTTTAATCCTGTTGCCTCAACCTTTCTACTGTGACTACGTGAAGCTTTCCTGGAAACTTTGTTGTCCTGGTAGGAAGGTAGCCACAGGCAATTTGCTCTGGCTCGGCAAAGCCTCAGGTCCTGCACTGCAGCCACCACCTCCTCCCTGGGCTTGGGAATTGCTGCCCTGTGGGAATCTGCTCATGGACAGGGTTGTGGAGCCCAGGGATGCGGAGAACTGGACGTTTCTTGCGTGTCTGTATTAAGATCCTTTTAAGGAACTTTGAGGGTTGAGTTGCTTGAGCTTGCCTTCATTTTATAGACCAAATAAATGGTGCATGTAGATTGTGTGCAGTTTTTCTAACTGGGATATTTGGCAGACAAAAAGCACTAAAGATTTTACTGTTTTTATCTATAGAATGTATTTTTCCCTGTGGTGTGGGAGAACCTACTGCTGAGAAAGTGAATCACGATTCATTGTATAAATATTGAATCCTCTTTGCATCATATTTACAGCTTTACAACTGCTTTTATCTGCCAGTTTTCAAAGTGAGATGGTAAAGTTGCAGCTGAAGTTTAAATAATAATAAAACATCTGAAAAAATTGCTGTTTAAGTGAAGATGTGTTTTAAAGCTTTAGGATTTTTTTTTTCCTCCACTGTCTTGTCTCTGCTACTACCTTGTGAAGGGTGGGGGGAGGGCAAGAAGCTTGATTCTTAGTTCATGTACAAACTTAGTTGAGGATTTAGGAAAAAGCTGAATCCTTCACTGATAAATGCTGAATGTTTCCTTCAAGGTTCCCAGCACCTTTAAGTCCTTTCGTAACCTTCCTGAATTGCACCCATTTCCCAGGCCAGAAAATAAAGGCAAAATATTAAATATCTATAGAAACTATTTAATGGGGGTGTGAAACATTTGAAGGCCTGTTATAAAATCTCTCTAACTCATCCCCTAAAAGCATAACACCTTTCAAAAGTTTAGCTAACTTCACTAACTTTCCCAGAAGAGAACAGGAATCCAGATGCATTAGCAAAATTTGGAAACCTCTGCTCTTCTGGCTTGCTACATCTAATGTTTTAGATACTGTATGTAAAATTAAATCCAAAATTCCTACTGTGAAGGGAAGCTACTAAGAGCTTCATGCCCGTCCTTCTGTGGAAGGATAATTGTCGGTGCTCTGAGCTTCTGTCCTAGAAGTCTAAATTAAGAACAAGCCTTCTGGGCCTGCAGGAACTTCTCGGGCTTTGTTCTTGCTTGATAACTGGTTGACCTAAGCTGCCCTGACAACGCGAGTCCTCTGCATCATGCTGTCAGAACAAATTACTGAATATCAACCGGCGTCCCAGAAGAGATGGGAGCCAGGATCTCACTAAAAGTAAAAGGCTGTTCTCCTAGACTTGCTGGCAAATTAAGGCAAACCAAATGATTTGGAGGGGATCATTCCCCTTTCCCAAACACTGCTGTGAGATTTGATCCAGCAGCTTCCCCTGGGTGGTGGGAACAAGAGTCAAAGAGCATGTACTGGAGCGTCACCCACATGCCTAAGAAACATGCCCAGTGTGTGGGGGAGGGCGTTGGGGACAAGAGCTGGAAGGCAGTATTTTCTGTTGGTGTCAAGAGGCAGTATTTTCTGTTGGTGTCGAGCCTGGTGGGTGCAGGCTTAGACCAGGGGGTGACTTCGTGCAGGGCCTCAGCACTTGGTGTGGACGTGGCAGGGCCCCGGTGGCCCCGGTGTCTCCGGGTCATCTGCTGCTGTTCACCGCCAGGGTGTTGTCCCTGTTTGCCCCGACAGCTGCGTGCAGGAGCGTGTGTTGGAGTGGGGTGGTCTGATCCAGTGACCAAACAGACTTTTTATAGCACCCTGCCTAGATGCCTTTGTGGGAGGCCAGCACGGCAATGAACAGGGCATTGAATTTGTTTGGATAATAAAGGAATAGCTCCCGGTTAGATCTGGGCTGACTTGCCTTGTGAAGATAAACATGCCTTCAGTTAACGACAGGTTTCTTTTTGGCTCTTCACTTGTGGATACCTCCTCCACCTCGCGCGTGCTACTTGCACCGTCTCTCTTCACAGCCTGCTCCACTGCTTTCTTACAGGAGCATAGGTGGGAACAGGATCCATAAGTGCTTCATGATCTATGTGTTTAAAGCCTGCAGGTTTGGTTATAACCCTACAAAATTGTAGATAATTATGCCACAGCTATTTACAAATCAAAAGTAAACTAATTTAAAATGCCAATATGCTAAAAAGATTCTACTTGCTTTGAAGTAATTTCTCTACAAAGTTAATCAGAATTAATCAGAAAGGTGTGGATAGTGACATTTCAGTGGAAAGCCAGACAGAATAATAAGGAAACGTCATTTCTTTTTGGAAAATGCCTAAACAGCTTGACATTTAAGAGGGCACCAGCTTTCCAATAAAAATACAAATGAAGATTTTTTTTTAATCAGGGCACATTTTGGAAGGCCTTATCAAAATGGTCCAAATTAATATAGGCGTGAATGCCTATGAATATTGAAAAAAAACCCTGTTTTTGAAGAATTCCAGTGTTCCACCAGGGCTGACACTCCAGTTTGGCAGCCAGGGAGAGGTCTCACGTTTACATATCACTAGAAAAATGACAGGTGAATAGAAAGGGAGAGCCAAATTAGCCGCCCTAAGGAGAGATGATCAGGTAGTGCTCAACTCATTAACTGTCATCAGAAGCAGAACAGGGATGGGAACTTTTTTTTTTTAAGACTGTATAAATTGTGTGAAATAGACAGGAGCTGTGGAGCCCTATCATGCAAATTGGAGATCCTTGAAGCTGGCAGGCCAAATAAAATGCGGGGGAAGGACGAAAGGCCTGTGATGCTTGTGCAGTGAGGCAATGTGGAAACATTTGGAAGAAGGTCTCCATGCTGGAAAAGGACTTTGAACTCTTGCTCAATAGACCAGAGGGTGATGGTAGATCATGGAAATTGCTTGGTCTCTTTTGGGTGACCTGCAGGGGAAGGAGAGAACTGACCTTTTTACATCTAGTGTGGGTTAGATTTCCAGCCAGTGTCCTCTTCCCCCTTTTACGTAGCTGCGAACAGGAGCTGTCTCCTTGTAGCTGAAGTCTCTTACAATGGAGAGTCTGAATTAAGAACAGGGAAAGAAAAACAAAGCCTCTTTAATTAGGATTAAATTCCCCCCTATCTCCCAACCCTGGTTTAACGGAGTCTAGATATTAGCGCTGATGGATCTGACTTGCTGACTTGGGTAAACGCAGTGCTCGGCAGATGAAGTCATACATAATTAAGTGTTCTTTCTTGCATTCTTTCCAACACAATGGCCTGTAGCATTCAGACTTGTAATAATTGATGTTTTCTGTGTGCTGGAGCTTCAGGACAGCCAATTAAGGAAATGGAGGTGGTAGCTGTGCGGTATCTCTAGCATCTCTGTGTTACCAACATGTGGGTTGTAACTTTCCATCATTTTTTTTTCTTCTTTCTAGTGCCTAAAACAGTACATGCAGCTGGCAATTCAAGAAGGTTGTGGCTCTCCTATCACTTGTCCAGATGTGGTGTGCTTGAACCATGGGACCCTGCAAGAAGCAGAGGTATCAAGACTTCTGTATTTCTTTCTTTCTTTCTTTTTTTCTTTTTTCCTAGATATTAGCCCCCAAACTGCCTTTCTTTATCTACATAATAAATATGATCATATAATTTTTCCTCCCTTTAATTACCTTTAATGAGCTTCTGGCAAGAAGCCTGACTGACAAGAGAAACCAGAAGCAAACAGATGTTTTCACGGGTTTTGCTCTTTTTTTTTTCTTTCTCCCTGTGCCTTCAGGAAAGTCTTACTTGGCATCCAGACAACCCCCGAATTACTCATGCAGGTGACTTAACCAGAATACCCTGTATCCCAGAACTGCTGAATCTCCATTAATGCTGTCAATTTAAATCAGATTTGATTTGACTACAAACAGTGAAATTCTAGCAGCTCTCAAAAGCCAAGGGCAGGAGCTCATACTGATTGTAATCAGGGCCAGGACTTCTTCCTGCATGTTGGGCTGCGACAGAAAAACATTAAGACTGTGTAAAATTGCACTGAGAGAAAGGTTATTGCACAGCGCTGGGTGGAAGTTGGACTTAAGAGGGGAAAAACTGTCTCAAGTCCCAAGGCAGAGATGGGAGAGGGCTCAGGAGTGAAATGTGCAGCTCTTGACTGGTACGTGCACCCTCCCACGTGCAACATGAAAGCTCAATGTGAAGGCTGCACATAGAGAAGCTTAGGAGGAAATGTCCTCTGTAGACCTTCCCACACCATTCAGCATAAAGGGATTTGAGGGGTCTGTAAATATCCCTAACCTGCTGTCTAAAGTCTCTCAGTAATGCTCAGACAGCATCCCGGCTGATTCAGAGATGGGTTAAAGTTTCTAGATTGGGCTTAGCACCAAAACCATGGCATAGGGAGGAGCTGTTGGCAGCATAGCTGGAAACCTTATAGGTGCCAGCTATTCTGTGCATCTAGAAAGCCATGGAAAACAGAGGGAAAATCTGATGTAGTCCTGCAGTTGTTGCCTGCTCTGAGACTCAGATAGGCCCATGCTGAGACTGGGAATACTGTCAGAGAAAAGATGGCTAACGATTTTGTCTGGTTTTGTGCATTCTCTCTGTGCCTGAGTGCAGGAGAAAATGATGGAGAATTATGTCTCTATCCCTGAACTACAGAAAAGCAATTTATTACCTTTTGGGTATTCAACTGACATAATTTTACTACATGTATCTAATCCTATTCAAATGCAATTGTTGGCAATGGAATTCCCTACTAAATGTGAACTGTGGTTGTTTCCTTCAAAAATCTTCTTGCTTTGCTGTAAAATCCATGGGAGTGGGCCCTAAAAGCCCAGTTATTTCTCATGTCTTAGGTTGGTTATTTTCTACTGGGGATGTGTCATTAATTCCATCCATTTTAGAATAGGATTTTCCCTCCAAGCAGGCATGCTAGTGATAGACCCATAGAAAGGCAAAAAGGCTTTGGCTTCAGATTAGAGTCTTAATTTTTTCCAATGAGGCTGGCAGATGTGCTCTCCCTCTCTGCTCTGCCACAGAGCCAGGAAGATCTCAGCAATGGCAGATGTAGAGAATCACTAGGGAATTACTAGGGAATCACTTCTGGTCAGGGAAGGAGGACAGAGGAGCTGTGCAGAAGACAACCCCAGCTGCTGTGGCTTTACTGGTGTGAGGAAATGGGGATAATACCTTCTCCCACTAAGAGTTACCAGGAATACTTTGTTTTCCAGAGAAGCACACGGTCTCCTCACCAGCATGTATATAAACTGGAGTGCTCCAGCCCTGGGAGTCACATCTGGTACAGCATGCAGCCATATGGAGGAGCTTTCCTTTGGCCAAACCCAACTATCATGAAAATCAGTCAGCTGTTTACTTTCCTCCATTCTTCCACATAGATGCAGAAGGGGCCTACCAATGTCCCACCTGCCGCAGCAGACTGAAGGCAGCTAGCCTTAATTGCAAATACTATTTTCGAAAACACATGCCAAATGGTAGGAAGAATTCTCCTCTCTTCAGCTAGGGTAGTGAAGATATAGGAACTATAAAGATATGTTTCCTCATAGTAAGCAGGAGCCCATTCCGGGGCATGTGCTAATGGACCATTAGCTTATTCCATGGGTGCTTCTGGGAGCCAGAGGCTGAACGTCTAAACAACCCAAGATGTGCATTAATGGCCCGTGAATGAGTGACTGTTCTGGAGCTCCCTTTTGGCAATGCACCTGTAGCATGAGCCTTCTGCTTAAAAAGCAAGCAGGCAAACAAGCCCCCAGGCTGGCTGAAATGAACGGGTTATGTATTTCACTAAATACGTTTTTGTTTAATGAAGAATACCTAAAAAAAATCAAGCAAATGTCTCGATCAATTTGGAAGGGTAATATGTAAGCTACAGATTATATAAACTCTTTATATTCTTCTTTATTATTATTATTATCTATAAAAGATGGTTCTATGTGAAAATGTGGCCTTTAAAAGCTATTGCCTAAAGAGTAGAACTGCATTCAGACGGTAAACAATAATACAAAACAAGATGGCAAACAATAATAATTGTTTGGCATGGAAGTACTGTTTGCAATTACAGGTAGGTAGAATTCATTGCAGGGTCTGAAGCTCAAGGCATAAACATAGCAGCCTTCTTGCCCCCAAAGGGTCTGGATTTTTGGTTTCCAGCCTTTGGGAGGAGAAAATTCCTCACCAGGACTGTACCATGAAGAATATCATACCTGTGTTAGCCGTATTTGTGTAGTTAAAATTTTCTTTTTTTGATCTCAATAAAACATGTTAATGTAACCATCTAGGCTTCATTTTCTTTTTCTGTTTTTTTTTTTTTTTTAACTATTGCCTTTAAGGGGGGTGAAAATAGTTTTGTCACCTCCCCCCATCTCCCCTCTTGTCTCATGTTAATATGAGGATTTTTGAAAAGGTGCATTTTTCAGGCCATGTCCGGTTCAGCCTCTGCTGTGATTGAAGTTAATCAGATATGGTTGCAGTTTGAAGAAAAAAAGAGCAGTTGAAACCATCTTTCTCGTGGGAACCGTGTTAAATTGGTTTCTATACTTTGGGCTAAATTGTGTCTAATTATGCTAGCTAACACAATTGTCTTGTTTGCTTTTTAAATGCCTTTTGCCCTAGCCTGCACAAAGGAGATAAGGTGAACTTAGGCATAATTTAAAGTGGAAAAAAAAGCATTTCCATTGACTCAGTTGCATTTTGGATTGAGCCCTCTTCACTGAGGAAACAGTGATTAATAATACACCATATAATACATGTTATGTTTATGATAGCTCCTCTGTTTCCCTTTATGAGGGTCCTTATGCAAAGTGCAACACTTTTTTGGTGCTTTCCAGTGATTTCTTTGGTTACACTGTAACCAAAGTATATTGCAGCTTCTCAGTAAAATGAATCATTTTGTTGTTCAGTACTAAATTATGAGAGCCTTTTCTCTGTACTTGACTTGATTCTGACATCCATGCGCCCTTGTGTTGCTTTTTGTTTGGGCAAAACATTAAATTTTAAACAGATAGTAGAATTTGTTCTCATATGTGTCACCAAATACTAAGAACTATGGGAAGTAGGAAAGTACCTCTGCTGCTCATATGCAGTGTATAGGAGGTTGGGGGAGTTTACTTTTTGTGAGATAGAACATTTTGTCTCTTTGGAACAGAAGAAACTATTCAAGGCTTTTATTCTTAAAAAAATAAAATGAAGAATCATTGGAACAAAAAAGTATATTTTTAAAGTAAGCGTTTTTTTTTTTTTTAAAAAAAGCTTTTTTTTCTGTAACAAAATCTAGCTGAAACTGGTATATTCCTTGTGTTTTGGACAAGCAGTGCATTGAAACAGAAAGAATTGTTCTACTGGAGCACGTGAAATCAAATGTAATCCTAGGTCAGATCTTGACCTGTTATGTTAAGACAGCAGCTGCTTGTATAGCTTGTTTTAAAGCAGAATTAATGGGTGTTGTTTGTGGGGAGGCAGTGCTTTTGGCTACAGGCTCTATTTCAAATAGCTGGTTATGCAAAGAAGGAAAGTTTAAAAGCAATCTCATTAAACAAGCTGTTTGTCCTTTCGAGACCTAATAGTGCAATAAACAAAACTGATTTGGATTCCTTCCTGGAAGCAGGAGGTAGAAGGAACATCTTAGGTTATGCAGCATGCTTCCATCTCGAATATTCCTGTCTCTGCTGGGAATTTGCTCCATTGATTTAATTGGGCCTGATCTAAATGAGGGGTAATTTATCGTGATTTGGAATGGTTCTTCTTGGCACAAAGCAGGATAAATCTCTAGCGCATGCAGGGCTTTCTGATGTGCAGCTCACGCAGGTGGTGTCTAGGGGCTTGCGTTTCCCTGCCATTTCTGACTCCCGCACTGTCCTGCAGCTTGCAGAGTTGATGCCAGTGACCTGTGCAATCTGATTAGTACTGTGCAGTGGGTCCAAAGAGAGAGCCTGCTTCAGGCTCTCCTTTTGCCCCTGAGTTTGCAGGCAGCATCGCCCCTTTGCATTGAGGGCAGCTGCTGCCGGGCGTCCCTGGGCCCATGGAAGTGCCTGATCTCTGCAAGGCTAATCTTGCCCAGGGCTGCCAGTGCCTTGCAAAGAGAGGCTGAAATGGGACAGCGACCCAGTTCTTAAAATTCTTAATGGCGTAATATTCCCTATATAGCTGAGGAAAAAAAAAAAAAGGGAGATTCATTTTATTTCTATATTGAAAATCGGTGTTGCAGGCAGACCTCTCTTTTTCAAGGTCAAAATTAAAACTTTTCTTCTTCATGTGTGTGTGCAGGGGGGTTGGACTAGATGATCTCTAGAGGTCCCTTCCAACCCTAAGAATTCTATGATTCTATGATTCTATGTTTGCTTCCTTTTAAACAAATCCTGAGACAAGTTAGACGCTATCTGTCTTTTCGTTTTAAATTAGCAGTGCAGCCCTTTGGGGCAGCCCGAGTGATGCTGCTAGCGCCAGATTTCTCTTTGCTATGCGTCTGCGAAGGAGAGAAGCCCTTGTCCTCATGAGCTTCCACGTCTAGGTAGGATCGAGCCTTGATTCATATGGGTGTGAAAGGAAGTAGGATCTATTCATTTTTCTCTTGAGGCCTCCTTGCATCTCCTTTGAAAGCCTGAGCATAGGTGGAGCAATGATTTTCCCTTTCCACTGTGGTAGCCAGTGTTTAAAAGCAGGCCAGTTCTTCCTTGGCTCCTGGTTACTGCCCTGCTTGAGTTATGAGGAGCAGTCTGGCTCTGTGTAAACTATTTCAAATCCTTTCATTTTCCTTTCTTTGCTCTTTTGTATCATGGAGTAATATCATCCCCAGTTATCACACTGTATTGGGCAAACTGTTGGACACTTGGCAAGGGTCCAGTTGGCACCTTTTATGATAATGAACCTTCAAATTTTTGCATTTTTTTTTCCCATCAGTATATTTATTATAGATGAAAGCTGCTGTTCTTAAGTACAACTGTGCTCTGTACAGCAGTACTGTATAACTGCGGAAGTTGCTTAAGATGCATAGAACAACTGAAAGTTTATTTCAGTTCTCAAAAGTCTGGTAAGCCTCAAATCAACATCTTTCCAAGAGAGAAGAGTCTTATTGTCTAAGGAGGTTGTAGTGCAGTGGAGGTTGATCTCTTCTCGAGACAAACTACCAACAGGACAGGAGGAAATGGCCTCAAATTGCTCTAGGAGAGGTGCAGGTTGGATATTAGGAAAATTTTCTACATGGAAAGAATGGTGAATCATGGAGCAGGCTGCCCAGGGAAGTGGTGGAGTCACTGTCCCTGGCAGTGTTCAAGAAACGTGTAGATGAGGCACTTAGGGACATCATTTAACAGGCCTGGTGTTTAAAGGTTTACGTTTGGACTTGGTGGTCTTGAAGGTCCTTTCCAACCATAGTGATTCTGTGATTCTCTGGTTTTCTTCAGAAGTCTTTATTGCAGCTTTAACTTCCCATTGAACAAATAACCCTAAAACTTCTCTTGTTGGCCTCTGAGAAAGGCCAGCTTTCCCAGATGGCCTTGCTACATTGAGTGATTTCTCAACCTAAAGTAAGAATAAGCAGTGTCTTGTTTTGTGTTATATTCATGTATTCTTTTTCTTTTCTTTTGGTCCTTTGCCACCAGCTGTGTTGCTGGTTTGATTCCTGCCCCAGATTCCCCTTGTCTGTCAAGCCCTTAGGTGTGTACAGCTTTGTAGGAGAGGAGATGCTTGGGATGGACTCTCGGGGGTTGGAGAAATGTTATGAATGCGAACATCAAGAGTCTGGCGCTGTGTAGGAGGAGATAAACATTTAATTTCCATGTTGTGCTTATGGCTGTCCTTCACTATTAAGTGTAAATGAAGTTAAAAGTTCCCTGAGGAAAGGATTTGCTGGATTTTTTTTTTTTGATAGCCAGAGTCCTGATACTAACACATTTCATTTTTTTTTTTTTTTTTATAGTGAGGTTGTGCATACAAGTGTGCTATTTCTCTAAATTCAGGCAGTCACAGATTGTGCCTTGCCTACCTCAGGCATAAAGATACTAAATCTGTGAGGGGCTTCGGTTTGGCGTCTTTCATATTGCTTTCCATGTGGATAACATCAGGAGTTGGTCTTTGGAAGCTCGGGAAAGTCCATGACAGAAAAGATGGGCTGTGCTAGACCGGCACTGGGAGCTGTGTAAGCAGGGGGAATCTAGGCCGTGATGGGGATGTAGGAATATCCTCAGTGTGGGGCTCGAGGGAAAGACTGGCATGGTAGGTCAGGCTTTAAATAGATGAAAAGGAAACTCTCTGCATGGACGGTGCAGTCTGCTGAAATCCACATTAGAGCTCTGTGCTCCCACTGAAATCGAAAAGGCTGCTTTTTAATATGTGGGAAATTCTGGGTTCAGTAAAACTGATCCTGAAAAAACTCTTTGTGAAAACAAGAGCAAGAAGAAAAAGACCTCAATCAACTGAACTATCCACTCAAGTGGCTGTTAATCTTACAGTATTGACACTCACTGTTTTAATTTAGCCATAATAGTGACATTTTTTTAAGTAGCTGTCAGTGCTTACCAAGCTACAGGAAAATAGATGCCTGCTTCTTGTTTTTCTGAACACGATTTAGATTTAATTTTAGTTTAGATTTCCAGCTGCCCTGGGGAGGGTGGGCAATACTGCAATGACAGGTTTGTGTATTTTATGTAATTTTATTGGTTGGCATCTTTCTTTGCTGAAGCTACTAAATTTCACTCTTTTTTTTTCCATGTTTGATTAAGATTTCATTGTTTGTGTGTTTGTTTTTTCAAGAATGCTTCAGCCAACTTCTAAGGAACAGGTGAGGAATTTCCCATGAAGCCACATTGAAGTAATATAGTTTACCCCATAAAATACTTTGATAATAAAATATTTTATACTGTACTTAAAATTCAGAATGAAAGCAGTGTTTTGACCCCTTGGACTCACTTGCTAAGCTGTTTTTTAAAGATTTTTTAAAGTTTCCCATTTTGCTGTAAAATTCTCTGATTACTTCAGCTATAGATCTTTTAAGCACCTTTGAACACCTAAGTCTTGATATCAGTGGCATTTTTTTGGTATGATGTTGATTTGGTCACATAAATGGTCCATATACCTGCCTTTGAAATGCTGTTATAATTCCAAATTATTTGAGATCTTACAGTGATTTCAGGTCCTGTAATATACAAATGAAAATATTATTTGCTTTTTACGTCTAAAGAAGCAAAACATATTCACAGCTTGATAGCAGCTTTTTTGTGCATATGTGTGCTCTTCGTATTTTTTCTTATATGAATGTCTTGCAACACTACCCAGGAGGATAGCAGTGCCCATTTTCATTTTTCCATGGGCAACATTTTGCCTTTTACAGTAACCTGAAGGATTGTGGTGGGGTTCTGGTGGGTCAAGAGCCCTTTACTCTGAGCTTCACTCTGAGCTCACCATACTTCATAAGATGAGGTCTTATTTTGATATCTGTCTAGATCTTGTATTATTAGAAGAGAAGGGTATTGAGGTAGCTGGAGAGAAATTTTCAGTATTGATAGAAAATGTGCAATGTTATGAATGGATCAAATAGAATGAAGTTAGATTTTGAATCTGCTAAACTAAACTGAGAAACCACAAAGTTTTATTTGAACACCTCCTTATACCATATACGCATGTATTAGTCTTAAATAGGGTCTTAAATTGTAGCTAAAACTATTGGAAACCACACCAGCTTCTACCTCCTGAGAGGTAACTGACCCCTGCCATTAAGGTGGGGAGATTTTAACGAGGAATCTTCCATTTTGTCTGTATTCTTGGGTATAAACAACAGACTTCAGTCTCCAGCACTGGGATTCAGTCACTGCTCATTACATTACACCAGCATGAAGCAAAATGGGGAACTTGAAATAAATACAGAATGTGCAAAGAAGACTTTCCTATGGATGGTTTAAAAAATGGCTGAACTAATGGGCTATGTGGCTTAAATAAGAGAGGTCAAGAGCTACTGTATGCTTTGGAGAAGGAAAGCCAGGTACAGAGGAATTGGAAGGTGAAAAATGAGCAGGAAAACAAGGTAGATTCGAGATCTAGCTCAGGAATAGCATGGTAGGCATGTAGAGCATGGTGCTTTCTCTCTCTTTTTTTTTCTTTCTTTTTTAAATCTTTTCTGTTTTTAACATTTTTCCTGTCCGTTTGTTTCTCATTTCAGATTGCCTGTTTGGTACCTGTTGACCAGTTTCAGTTATACAAGAGACTGAAATTTGAACGAGGTGCGAACCTTTTTGTTTTTTTTTCCCCTTGAATTTTAAAGTGTCAGAGGAGGCAGCAGTATTAAATAGTGCAGTGCTCTCTGCCTTAAGATAAAGCCTGTTGGGTGAGTAAGGGAAGAGTCTGAGATGACATCTTTGTTCTGAAATAGTTTAACTATAATCACTAGTTGTGACTCTACTTTGCAGCTAAGTCTGGAGCGACTTGAATGGAACAGAATCAACAACATTTTCCTGAAATACAGCACTTTTACTCAAACTTGTGGGGAACATTCTCAGGCTGTGTGTGTGAGGCTACATCATCCTCCTTGCAGCATGCTCCTCTCGGATCCTTGAGGCGATGGTGGTAGAAGAAGAGTTAGAGAAGGTACCAGAGGCTTCCTCTGGGGTGTAGGGTTCAGGTAGCTCTTTCATATGTTGAAAGGGATCTTCAGACCTTCAGAGGGAGACAGACCCTGTTGTGTGATGGCGATTTTTGCAAGCATCCCTACAAGAAAAGCCTTGTATGTGTTCTTCTAGTATATTTAAAAAATTCGTGAGGGGTTATCTATCTCCTAAGGTTTCTTAGTAAATAGGCTTGAAACTGAGGATCTTACTGGGTCTAAGCTTCAATGTGACAGAAGTCAGCATTCTGCCACAGAAGACTTTCTTGTCAAGGCTGAACAAGAAACTTAACATGCTAGTCAGCAGCTTGAAGTTCCACATTGATGATATAGACTGGAACCAAATTTAAAGTCCCAACTGGATGTTGTAGCATTTTCCCAAAGTAGTCACACTGCAATAGCTTCCAAGGTGTATGTCTTGGACTCATACGCCCTGATTCCACTTTCCTCCAAGCTTCCTCTAAAGTATTTGTGCCCATGTTCCACATGCCTGCTTAGAAGCAGGTAAATTATGAACATGCATAAGGATACAGAGGTTCATGATGAATGATCATGAAGTACCAAAACAAGAAGAAATGCATCCAAGTATATCCCAGAGTTCCTAGGCAAATGCAGATTATAGCTGTAGTTAGCAAGCACACAGGCAACCCTCTCTCCCGTTCTCCCCCTGCCACCGAAAAAAACCCAAAATGAACCACACAAACCCCACCTTCATTTTCTCTTTCTCATTTTACTTTCCTCTAATTTGCCCTTAATTTCTTCCTTCCAGTTTGTAAGTTAAGCAGTAACTTGTTTACAGCAATAGACAGGGGGGAAAAAGAGGTTAAATCAACATATTAAAGGGTTAACAAAGAGAGGCATCCTTATAACACATTAATCTGTTTTGCATAACGACTTTTTTTAAAACTAACAACTGGAAAGCTAATGATTTCCTGGTATCTCCTCTTCTATAACTAGCCAAAGCTGAACTCGTGATCTTTTGTTCAATTTCCTGTTGTATCTTTTTTTTCTTTCTTTTTTTTTCTTTTAACTCTCTCCCACTCATCATGTAACTTGTCTATTTTTTAAATCCTTCCCTTTTCCTTCATGCTTAAACATCCAAGTCTGACAAATCCTCCTCCACCTCCACTACTCTCTTTATAAGATCTAGCCTTTCTCCTTTATTTTAACTGGCATCCAAGTAGCAGCCTTAAACCAAACCTTTTGGCCTTGTGTGTTCCCAGGAGTACTCTCTCCCACTCATCATGTAACTTGTCTATTTAAATCCTTCCCTTTTCCTTAATGCTTAAACATCCAAGTCTGACAAATCCTTTTGGCCTTGTGTGTTCCCAGGAGTAAATTTAGCTTTCTGATGTCTGGGAACAAACCTTCCTGCTAACCCAAGTTCTGACCCAAGCAGCAGCACTAACCCCAGTCTCAGCCTTAGTGCAATTTAGCCCGTTTCAAACCTAGCAAAGCCTCTATGCAGCCTGGGTCACTGCTGCATCTCTCAAGGGCAACCACAGCCGATATGGAGCCTCCTGATCCGTTCTCACACCAGTCCCAAATGACACTCAGCCGCTGCTCCTGGACCTCGCAGCAAAAGCAGTTCAGCTGTCTCTGTGTTGACCCACAGACCTGTCCCTGAAGGCCTGTGAGCTCTAGTTGGGATGCAGGCAAGTGGGCTGGGATCAGCCAGAAGCCTGGCCAAGCGGCACCTCCTAAGGACCAGGAATTCATCTGAATTACTTAATTAGGGATGACATTTCGAAGAAATGAAATACAGCGTAATAGTAACATTTCAGAGATTATTTAAAAATGAAGAATAGCTTCATATATGAAATATTTCTGTCTTCCTTTTCTTCTTAGTTTTTAGGACTTTCTCCAGAACAGGCACTGGATAAGAGTATCATTTTTTTGGGTTAGCTACTTTTTTATGGTAGGAGGAAAAGGAGTAAGTGTGGTAAACAGGAAGAGATGGAAATGGAGAGCAATGGGGTTTCCAGATCTTTGGCTGCAGGCCAAATTCTGATCTTTAAAGTAGGCAAGTACTAGGGAATCCTTCACTACTTTTATTCTGTTCAACAAAACCCTGTATTCAAACCATTCCACTTCCTCTATTTCAAGTCCTTCCTCTCTCAGTTTTATTCTGTTGAGATGTTTTCCTTCCCAATTTCCTTATTTTCCTCCTCAATTTTAATTTCTATCAGTCTATTTTACTTTTTTTCCTATCCATCTATTTTAAAACTATATTCTGTATTCTGTCTTGCTTCAGCATCCCCTGTGCTTTACTAGAAATGTTAGTCGCCAACTTCATAGCTAATTCTTTTCACTGTTGACCTGTAGTCTTTCCTCACCAGTCTTCAAGTAAAGCTGATGCTTCTCACCCTTAGAGAAAATTTCAATTAAAAGATTATTTTTTTAGGAAAATTCTAAAGACCTGGAGAAGGACTTGTACACCTGCAAGCTCATCTCTTTTCCCCAGTCCATCTCTTTTATCTCATTTCATAAAACATTCTTCTTCTCTATGTCCTTATTTTTAAGATATTTGACAGTCAATATTGGGTTAGAATGTTGTAAAAATGAATTGACATAGGCTTGCATTACTTGCTTAATTAGGATTCCAGTGAAATTATTCTATGGTCTTTTCTTTCCTGTGTTCTCAGAACATGAATATTTTCAGATTTAAGGAAGGCTTTCTTATCTATAATGTAACCAGTCAGGACCTGGTCACAGGGCTTTTATTATCTATTTTAATAGCAGAAACAGGAATTGCTATGTGTCTATCTAGGACAAGGATGATGTGGCCATCTGACACAACCAAGTGAAGAGAGAGGAATAGGATGTGGTTAGGATGTCTGTGTTATACTTCTGCTCTGGTAGCAATTGTCTAGCAATCCTACTGATAAATGATGAGGAATTCATAAATGTTTTATACCTGACCCAAAAGTATGAAAGAAAGGGGTGCTCCCTAATATTCTGTAAAGGCTTCTCATCGTTTCAGTGGGTACCTGTCTTGAGCCATAGATTCTTCTCCCTTCAGGATGCTGCATTTCCACAGTTTGGCTCATGCCTCCCGTGTCTCACCTGCTCCCTTGCTTGTTTGGTGAAAACAGGCCAGATGGGCCAGCCTGGGCTCCCTGGTTACTGGCACTGTCTGGGAAGACTCTTCTCCTTGGAGCAGTGTGAATGGGGCTGAGCCAGCTGTGGGAAGGCTGGGGAGAGAAATGACCCTAACCAAAAGATTGAACAGCTTGTCAGAGTAATCTGATTTATCTTTTTTTTTTTTTTTTTTTGCTCCTTTTTAGCTTTTCTGGTTTCATTTGTGCTCCATGGTAAAGCAAACAGTATGAGACAGCATGGGTTGCAAAACACCATCTGTAGGTTCTTTGTAAAATGGAGGAAGTGGGAGAGGAAAGAGATTTTTTCTCATGCATCACTTACATCTTGCTGCAACAAATTTGTAAAAATCAGTAAGATTTATAAGCCTGCTCCCCCCCTCCCAGTGAATGTCAAAACCAGACATCTTGTCCTTCATCCAAAACCAGGCTATGAGAACTTAGGTTTCAAAAACTGAGCATGCTAAACAGCTATCTGCAGGAACTGCACACATTTTGGCACATTGCGTGATGACTTTAATGCAATAGCTGTTACCAGGGACCAGGGTCTTACCTGGTTCAGCACGTCTTTGGAGAGGTATTGAGTAAAAGTTGAAAAAAAAAAAAAAAAAAGCAAAAAACCTAAGTGTCCTTATTTAGGACACTGCTTTTGAAAGAGTTGGAGTGGCCTGTACAGACCATCCTTTTCTCTCCTCTCTGCACGCATGTGAAAATACTAACTCTCTTGTTCTGTCTTTCATTCAGTCTTGGGAGAATGACTGTTTTTTGTTGTTGGTGGTGTTTTTGTAGGAGAAGGGAGGGAAGGACAAGTAGGAGAATGGGGAAAATGAGATTAGATTCCTGAAGTGGCCAGAGAAGACCACCAGTACAGGTATTTTGTTGGCGCTATTTAAATTTCAGATTAAAACCTTTTCCATGGATGTGGAAAACATCTCCATCTCTGTCAGAGCACTCTGACACAGAACTAAATATTAGCTGAAGCCACAACGAGTTGCCTGCATGTCTTGCGGCCACCAAAGCAGACCGTCATCTTCACTTGGTTCCGTATTGTTATTTTTTTTCTAACTGCAACTCATGGAAAAGAGCAGTATAATGTCCACATGCAGTGGAAACTCTTAGAACAAGAGGTTGATCCCAGAATACCTGAGTTTCTGCTGCAAGTCCAAGTTTCTTGAACAAAGGATGGGGAGTGAAAGAAAGAGTCAACATTTACCATACACTACTGTGCAATAATTTCTGTAACTTAGTGTCTACAGCCATAATTTTATCTTGGTTGTTTAATAATCTGATGTCTGACAAATAATGATCATGTAATGAGGTGAATATTAATCTGTGTTTATAGATAGAGGGAAAGGGGAAATAAAGCACAAAAACTGACTTTATGTTAATTTAATGACCTTCCCACTGTTTACAGGAAAAACAAGAAATGTTTTTCATTGTCCTTGCTTTATAAAGGGAACATTCTTTTCAGCAAGCAGCAGTTATATTTGTCTTTCATACAACTTTTTGAGTTCACAGACAAGCAGATTTGGAGTAAATCATTATTCTCATCCTCCAGATACAGCCCGTTGTACCAGTGGATCTCTACTAGCTGTGCTTTTGCATGCAAAAGGTGTAGGCTACCTGAAGAGTCCCGATTAACTGACATTGCTTTAACATCTGATAGAAAAAAAGATGAAGAATGTGCCTGTTGTAGTATATTGCATTCTTGAGATGCTTCCAGTACAGCTGCCTTTGCAGAACATAATTCCAGGCCTGCATAAAGACGAGGAGTAGGCTGGGACACCCGCAGAAGTAGGCATGGAGGGCTTCCGCTTCCCTCCACAAGCGCCAAATTGGGTCTTAAGTGCTTAAGTGAAATGCCACCGGAATGAGAAAGGGACTGTATAAACAGCTTCCTTTCTCTCTCTCTGTTATGTTTCAAAAGTCCATTTGAGAACTGTATAAACACTTTTTTTTTCTCACTTACATTTCAGAAGTGCATCTGGACCCTCGGCGGACGTGGTGCCCTGCGGTGGACTGCCAAGCAGTGTGCTATATTTAACCGAGCGAGTCGGGGCAGCCGGTGCCGGTGGAGTGCCAGGCTTGCCGCCTCAAGTTCTGCTCCGCGTGCGAGGAGGCCTGGCACCCGGAGCGCCTCTGCCAGGGCAGCCCCACTGCTGTCATATCAACTGAGCAGGGGTAAGGGGAAGGCCCACAGAGGCCTTGTGATCGCCCAGTTCCCTTTGGCTCTGGGTTCTAATGCAGTACCTCACATAGGTGTCATGGAGTGCCCCTCTTCCAGCTTCCTAGGTGCATCCCTAATGCTGTCCATCTCTGCTGGTGTTTCCTAAATATAATTCCAGTGTAATTCTTATTATTTTTAATTATATATTTTATTTTTTTACTAATTATTTTTACTATTATTTGGAGAGCTACCAAATTTGGGGGTTCACTGATGCTTCAGAAAGGCCTAGCCCACCAAATTTTGTTTGCATGTTAAAATCGTGCCTTTTACCAGTACAGAATACCTAATATACTATATAACTGGATCCACACAGTGCTCTTACTGTGATTAACTCCTGTTAAATATTTATGGGATCTCTGCATAGACAAAGCTGGACTCTTGTGCAAAGTGAATGTGAAATGTCTCACTTGGTATGACTTAGATTTTTATTTATGATTATTTTTATAAGTGTAACTGATGCATAGGTCTTTAATCTACAGAAAGAAAGCACTTTTTAAATTACATAATGCCTATGACTATCCACCTTTGTTTTCAGAATACAATTGAATTCAGTCATGTGTGTTAAAAGGTTTCTCTTATTTTTTGCAACAAATAAGACTTAAAATCTAAGCATTTTGTTTCCGGTAGATGTTATCAAACAGGAGTTGCCAAAGAGCTCTCCCTACAGTGTTTCTTCTTCAGGTTTGAACTTTGGCTTTGGTGGAGTTTAAGTTTATTCTGTTTGGCAACAGCAGTGCTGTGAGTCTCATAACCCGATCCTTTAATGAACTGTATATGAAAAGTGCTATATTTAATGCTATATGTGCTAAGATCCTGGCTATAATCAGTGGTGATTTTGTATAGTACAAAAGATAAAGGAATTGAGTTTCCCTTGCTTGTATGTTATCTAAATAATCTTACACCTACAAGTGAGTATACTTCAGCATAGTCTACTGCCAAGCTTCACGCTTTCAGCCCATTAAGACTATAATATTAGGCACGCTGGAAAATAAGTGCTACACATACAGTGCTGCTGAGTATGAACAGTAGTTACATTCATATTTAACATTATGTTTCCATAACCTTCTAGGTCACTTATCAAGACGGAAATAGAGTCACCGATAAAGCAGTGTCCTGTTTGTCGGATCTATATTGAACGAAACGAAGGCTGCGCTCAGATGATGTGCAAGAACTGCAAGCACACCTTCTGCTGGTACTGTCTACAGAACTTGGATGTAAGTGCCACAGGAAGATGCTTCCAGATTAGCAGAAGGTTTGAGTTAGAGCCCCAGGCCCTATATGAGCTCTCCTCCAGCTCATCGATATACTAGTGAATGGTTTTGCTCATTTCAGACTCTAGCTTTGTTTTCTTCTTCTAGTTTGTCCAATGCTTTTATCTATATCGGTATACATTTTTTTCCCATAAAGGATTATGGGCATGTCCCTGGGTCCAATGATAGTTCTCTGAAAGACATGGGACAGACTGTTTGCCTTCTGGCGGCCCAATGCAGCCCTACATTTTTCTGAGTCCCTCTTTTGGTGCAGCATATAAAAATAGTTTTGTTGACAGTCAAAGAAATAATTTTTTTCCCACCTGTTCCAACTCTAAGAATCAGAGCCTGCCCAGAAAAGGGGTCTGGTACTAGATGAAGGGGCTGATTTCAAATGAGGGTACATTAAGAGCTTTGTAAACTAAGTCTCTCCTTTCCTAGTACTACTGTAGTGCTGTGTTTGCTGAAGAGAATAATTAGTTAGTGGGCTTGAGGATAAAAATGGTGAATTATGAATGCAAGTTATGAACTACAGGTTGCTAGGCATTTCTCAAAAGACACTAAATAGCATCAATTCTTTTGGTCTTTGAGTTTCCTAACAAGATTAAGACTAGAAGATGTAATGTACTTGTGTATATGACAGCTTCCCTTTTTGATATGGTCATCAATAACAACTGTGGGAGTGTGAAAAGAATTTTACCAGCACTTGATGTAAAACAATGTTAACTGCTACATGGATTTTCTTTTTTCTTTTTTTTCAGTCCATAGCTAGAAAATGATAAGATTTCCTCATTCTTCATCCTTCCTTTCCTCGGCATGCTAAGCAGGTTTTGCTTAGCGTTGTGTCTCATTTCTGTATGTGTGAGCATGTGTTTTCAGCATTAGTCTTATGGCTTGCCTCAGAGTACATAGTGTACACAGTGATTGCTCAACACTGTGCTGAACTGGAAGACTGTCAAATTTTCGCAGACTCTGTAGACATGCCTTTATCAAGTTTTAATCAGTTCAAGAGGGAAAAAAATGGGACTGTGGGACTGTAGAAGTGTGTAGCTTTTCTAAATGAGTGGGGTTAAAGAGACTGCAGGTTTAAATGAATGTAGTGATATGGAATGGAAGAGTAAGGATGAAGAATGAAGGAGAAACCAGTGCCCATGCTACAGCGCAACTGTCTGGGGAGGGTAATGCAAAGCATAGGCCACCTTTTTGGGATAAAATGTATAGTTTAATAAATACCACTGGGAAAAGAAAAAAGAACTGTTTAAATCTTCCAATTAAGTCTAGGAAGAAAATGACCAGAAAGTATGGGGATAGCAGGAGAACAGGAGGAAGGAGTACCTCAAGATGATCTCCCTGGTTGCTAGCTTGCAGAAATGCTTGATGTTTACAGGCCTCTTCATCATCAACAATTATAGTGCAGGGTCAGAGTAGGTATTTCTAAAATGCATATATGTAAGCTTACACTTTTTAAAAGAGAGGAAGAGAAGACACTATATAGTAACTCAGGTCCCCAGAACACTACACCTTTTGAAACGGTAAGAAGTTTCTTTAAAAAGTTGTTTGGAAGACAGATGAACTTGTCTGCAGCACATATTTTTACAGCAGTGTCAGGAAAGTTTTATTTCCACTCCAGTGTTGAATACCTCCCGAAGTTATTGAAATCTTTTCTTACAATTTTTCCTTTTTGTTTTCAGAACGATATCTTCTTAAGACATTACGACAAAGGCCCTTGCAGGAACAAGCTGGGCCACTCGCGCGCTTCAGTGATGTGGAACAGAACGCAGGTGGGTTCGGAGCAGCCAAGCAGAGCCATCACACATGCCTAAGGAAAAGAGATTTTGCCCTTCAGCAAAAGCCTATGATGATTTGATTTGTACCAGGCTATTTTTTTTCCACACATATTTTATTTTCCAAGTTAGCTAAATAGGTGTTTTCCCCCTCTGTGTCTTTCAGGTTGTGGGGATCCTCGTCGGGTTAGGTATCATAGCATTGGTGACCTCTCCCTTGCTGCTCGTGGCGTCTCCATGCATCATTTGCTGCATTTGCAAATCTTGCCGAAGCAAAAAGAAAAAACACAGCCCACCAACAACCTAAAACTCTGTGTCTGTTTGAGCCTTCATCTGTACAGCATATGTATGTGAGAAAGCACAATGGTTGGATTTTGGTGCCATACCAAATGTTACTTTTTTTTTTTTTTTGGCCAATTCTTGAGATAAGTGCCTATTCTTGACAGGCTACTCTATCACTAGCAAGTCCCTCTGTGGGAAAAGCCAATGTATTTGTGCAGGACATCTGGTATATGTTTATGCTTTTTAAAAAGAAAACAGGACACCATTCAGTAGTTCATACCTTAAATATGAGCCACTTTTTGAGACTGCTAGAAGTTTTAGATCTTCCATCAGCTGCACATGAGTTGATCCTGCAGTGTTACACCATCTTTGCAGACACAGTCATTACTGCTATGCTTTCTCCTGATCTTGGTGACACTCAGATCCCTCAGAAAGTTTGGGGTACTTTTTAAAAGGAAAGAGAGAAAAAGAAAGGTTTTATTGCTTCTGCCTGCTTGCTTGTGTTCTGTTAAAAGTTACAAACTGTTAAGAAAATACATTTGATAGTTTCCTGTCATGTGTCTGCCACAGCTTTCCTTTTACCTGAAAGAGTTGGAGACTACTGTACGAATTTTGAAGGAAACATTGCCCTGACAAGAATTCTGATAATTTGCATTTCATAAATAAGCTTATTGTATGGAATAGTTTGAAATGATTTTCTATTAAGATATATAGATGTACACTGGTACAGAATTATATTCAAAAAAACAAAAAAGAACAAAAAAGAAACATGGCATAATGTGTCCTTGGCATGAAATGCTCTGTGTCACTACCAATAATTCATACTGCAACATGAACTTTATTTAATTACATTAGTTAGGTGGTTCAATTAACAGTAGTGAAAACATTTTCATCTTGCTATTGGTAGTATCAAAATTATTGTTATTAGAAGAAATTTCTAACAGTATTCTGTGCTGACAACATCGTTATCAATGGGATTTCTACTATTCATGTGAATTACAGAAGAAAAGGTTGTCGGAACTATTTCTGAGCTAGAGCTTTCTTTTCAGAGACTGGGCCTTCCTTTCAGATCAAAGACAGCATGTCTTCCTTGAAATATTGGGTGTACACATATTGCCTTGCCCTTTGGCAGAACTTTTGTCATGAGTGTGGGTGTAGTAGACTTAACATGAATCTAATATTTTAGGAAAGATATTGGTACATCTCCTGTTTTGTACACAGTATATGGATCTTGTTTGTGTACATGATTCTGTGTGTGCAGATCCAGACACAGAGTGAATAATGCAGTTTGTTTTCTATGGTAGTATGTTATTAACAGTTTACATAGGGTATCAGGAAGGACCTGGAAAAATGTTTCTCAGAGCAGGCTAAGCCAGTCTCTTTTAAACCCTACGGTATGAAGCAAGCCCTTAAGAAGTGCCGCGCGTACATAAGCAGCATCCACTGGCAGATATTTCTTGTGCCCCACTCAGGGTAACAAACTCTGTTACTCGTGGTTTTCAGTTTGGTTGGTTTCAGTTTGATTTTAGATCGGTCTCTGCCCCGTGGAGGTTACAACCCTCCTCATGACCCTGCCCAGCGGTGGCTGCTGTTCAGCTCTCCTGCCGGTGCACTTGATATCTGTGGGAACCGATACGAATTCCTGACGATGGCCCTCGTCCCAGCCCCGCTCAACAGGGGCTGCAAGGAGGTTTGATGGCGATGCCCGGAGCGCGCTGCGGGGAACAGCTTCTCCGTTCCGCCTGGCCGGGACTCAGGAACTTCGCCTTCTTGGCAGCCCTAAACGTGACCTTTCTTTGTTTAGCTCTGCTCTCCGGTGGCTCTACCAGAAGGGGTAAACGTTCTTATGTTAAGGGAGTGCAGTCTCTTGAGCAGGCTAGCAGGGATGAAGGCCTTAAATGATACTGTCTGCTTTACTTTTTTTCTAATGGATTCCTTTTGGGAATGCTGCTTGACTTTGCAACCGGTCATGACTGGAGGGCAGTGCTAGCAAGGAAGGTGGTGCCTGTGCCCCGTCCACAGCTGCGGAGCAAAGCTGAATGGTAGGCAGTGCCTTCAAAATATAGAGTGCAATGCAGGCAACAGTGGTCTGTAATAAATAGAGAATATTTTCTGTATGTGTTTTCTTTAGGAGCAGTAATGGAAGTGCTTGGGGTTACTTGTGACAGATTAAAGTGTCCAGCACTCAGCTTTGCACTATTTTTCTACCTACGTTTTTATGGCACTACTGTCATTTTCAGTTTACTTGGGAACTTGCAGTAGAGAATCTTACTTTAAGGAAGCCTCAAGGACGAAGATGTATAAGTTGTACAGACTCTTTAACCATAACCAACTTTATAATGTACCAATATTCTTTGCTAGTTAGATTTCATGTTTCTTTAAAATTTTGTAGTCCTACCTGTGTCTTACCTGTAGTTCTGCCTGTGATTTTTTTCTTTGTCCTCTTCCTCTTTCTCTTGTCCTGTTTTTACTGAAATGCCTAATGGAATGAAGGTGTCTCATGTTTTTTCATTAATACATGCAAATGCCAAGTTCTTCCCTCCCTGAAAGAAGTGGAACTGAATTTATCTTGCCCAGAATACACTAATAGACAGAAGGGCACTGTTTTTATTGTGATATGAATCCTACCCTTTTTAGTTCTTTAAATGTTCTCTAACTTTAATGCAATGCTCTCCAGAAAGTGGGATTTATTTTTTAATGGTTTGAAGGGCAATGTTTTATGAAAGCGTTGTGCGTGCGTGTAGCTGTGAAGTCTGGGAAAGTAAAGCTAGTCAGTTGATTTTTGTTAAAATTAACTCAGTGTGAGTGCAAGTAACTTCTTTTAGAGGCTACTGCTAGCAGAGCAGAAGGTTGGTGTGCCTTTCCCGTGTGCCTGTGTCACTGATGGTGCCAGTTTGGTGTGTCTGGGGGGGGTTCCAAAAGCAATAAAAATACCATATTCAGATGTTAGCACAGCCTGACAGCCACAGTGCCACTGCAGGCAGCTCAGGAGCCTGTGTGATGACTCCTAACAGTGGCCTGGGCTTTCTCTGGGGGTCTCTACACAAAAACTGGATTCAGATGCCACAGCTACAGGCACACCTTTCTTTGGCTGTGTAAACACAACAAATTGACCAAGAAAGCAGCTCTAAATATCCTTTAGAGCTTGAACTAGAAATCTTACTAGGATGACTTCCTTTGAAAGGCTGCACCCACCGCACCGTGTATCCTGTTTTCCTGTGTTCCTGAGCACATGCCCGAGGTTGGCACTGCCCTGGCCACTTCCGAGGGATGCGCTCGCCTTGCCGAGGGCTGCCGAATGCCCATGGTGGCATGGGCAGTGCCAGGGTCTGCTCCCCTCGTTTTCCAGAAGGCAGCTATTCTGCCCCGACTGGTCACACTCACTGAGTTTCCAAAGAACTGTTTTAGCAAGGACCTTTTTACGTTTTTTTTTTTTTTAATTATTATTATTACTTTATCAGACAAAAGATCATTATAAAAAACATACTGCCAGTATGGCAAATAATGCTAACAGAAATGTGGGGAGAAAAAACAAAAACAAATGACTGTGACACTGTCCTCTCGCACATCTTCTCAATCAACATAGCTGCAAACCCACCCTCTCAGCACCCACCTGCGTGATGTGTGGGGCCTGCTGGTCCGAGGCTTCGTCCTTGCTGCTCTCCCCACCTGCTTTCTTCTCCCTGTGTTTCCAGTTCTTGGAAAACGAAGGTGACAGCTGATCTGTTCCCTCTGAATGAGGGACGTTCAGCCCTCCTGTAAGTTAGGCTCTAGATGTCGAAAGATCAGATCCTAAAATGAGAGTCCCGCGTAGGAAAACTGGATCTGCACTGCGGCAGGCCACGTGTCTCAGGGCCAGATACTGCACTGCAGTTTCCCCGCAGTCACTGGGGCTGGGTCGAATGCAGATGTGGATCCTACTCCTTGCTCCTCAGGTGCTCGTGTTAAAATGAAGCCGATAATACCTGTTTGCAAGCCACCTCTTAATAAAAGTAAATAATTGTCATTGTACTATAACATAAGTAGTTCCCTGGCATATTTATTCTAGAACTGTAGGAGAGCATTGATGCTGCAGCTCAGCAACTGATTATTTATTAATGGTGCATGGGGTTTTTTACCTCATAGAAGGGCAAGAGGGATAAGGGTAATTAATGTTAATATCATGCTTTAATGATGTTAACTGCTGTGTCCAGTAACATAGCAGAAGATAAAGAAGTCCAAAGATAAGTTTAAAATGTACATAGTTTTTACTTGAATAAATAAGGAGAAACTGGATATTATTTTCCAATTTCCTTGAAGAAATGCAACTAGACAAAAATCAACTCAATTTCCACAAATGAACAATGAAATCACCTTTTGGCTACTCTTATCTGATACCACAGTAAGTGGTTGTATTTTAGTGCCTGATACCTTAAAAATTTGAAATCTGTCTTGCACTGTAAACTCCTTCTCCCAGACTCCCTTACTTTTCTGAGACTGATTCCTTTTTAAGATAGTAATTTTAATCCCCTATCTCAGGCCAAAGATTTTAAGAGGGAAATTTCTTTATGTGAGGATGAAAACCTTGCAACAGTTTTCTCATAGGTTTTAATAAGAAATTTGATGCTGAGATAATGACCAAAGATAGAAATATCAAACTTGCTCTGAAAACCTTATTCGAACTTAAATGCTGTCTTTGACTACCTAAATAAGGACTGCTTTGTTGGAGCTCTCAGGTAAATGATCCATACAGCTTTTGAACTCCAAATAAGCAATGCTTCTACTGGAGAGTAGACTTTTTGGAAACATGCTGGAAAAAAATCTACATATTTTATATATATATTTATCATATATATCAAAAATATTCTGTTGCAAAGTTTCACACTTTAGGGATTTAACACTCGTAAAGCTTGTTCAGGTATCCTTATACAATAGGCTCATTTAAAAAGTACATGAAACAGTTTAACATAATGTGTTAGGTGTAGAAGATCTTTGGGCCATCTCTCTCGTGTAAATATTTAGGATCAGACCCTAATTTATGTTGCTTACAATAAAGATGAGAAATTTACCTCTCACACACCAGGAAGAGTTGATTCAGCAGTCTGCAGGAAGGTGAACTTATTGCTAAGATTCCAGAAAACTTCAGTCAAGTTTGTATTTGTCCTCTAGTTAGTAAAATAATGAAATGAATACTTAATGGTTTTGTTGAACAGGAAACCCAAGGGTCTGTTTTGTGGCTCTAAACTCAGTTGTTTGCAACCAACGCATTTTCATAATTTATGATTATAGTTTATATAATTAATCTGTAAGTTAAAAATTGTAATTACAAAATGGTATTTTTAAAGTATACTTTCTTTTTATCATATATTTATTTCAATTTCATTGATAAGGGAAACTTCCTCTCTCACTTCCTGTGGAGGTGGTCCTTGTGTACCTTTAAGGTAAATTCCTAAGATTTGGTGGAGTCCATGCTAAATGTTTATGACTGTATATTTTTTAGTTAGCTCAGTGCGTTTCGTTATGATCTCCCAATCAGTTTTTTGAACCTGGCAAATTTCTCTTATTGAGAAAAAATAATTTCCTTAGCAATTAATGTTATTGAACATCAAAGTTTGGGCTGTGTGAGATGATGCTGGTTGACATGTTCCCCAACCTTTAAAGAAAAGAGGACATTATTCCCACTTTCCCTTCTCTTCTGCCCAAGAGGTATTTCTTTTTCTTTTTTTTTCTTTTCTTTTTCTCTTAGCTGAGAGTTAAGGAGCTCGGTCATTTGTCTGTGCCTTCTGGATGTCCAAACAGAAGCAGCAGCTTCTGGTGGCCACGTGCCGGGAGATCCCAGACAGGTTGAATGTGCAACACTGCAGCACGCGTGCAGTGAGTAGCCTGGATTCCAGGAACCTGCCTGTGCTTCATGGTTAGCCAGGGCAAGGGCAGGAGACGTGGAGCCCTGAGGCTCCTCCAAGGGGCTTCACGAGAGCCACCAGCCACGCAGCTCCAGCGCTTTGCCATCCGGTGTCACCGTGCGGTCGTGCTGCGCCTGTGCTTCGCCCAGGGCCTCATCAGGGAAGCCCCAGGTGCCAAGTCCTTTCTCTAGCTGGTACTTCCTATACCCACCTCCAAAACTCACTGATTTCCAGAGCAGATGTCTTTTCCTTTCATTTTCCAGTCAGCTCTACTGGCCGGATTCAGTTTCCAAGAAACCTCAACTTGAACCAGTTACTTGCAGCTCAGCTGGTCTTAGCATTGTTTTTTTCCTAAAGAACAAGTATGGGAAGAAAAACAGGACTGATAGATACCACACGGTTATTAGCATCATGGGTGCCACACATGTCACTTACCTGGGGAAACTCCTACTGCGACAGTGTTATGTATTTCTGGGTGAAAAAAAAAAGATTTTTTTTTTAAAAAGTATAATCCAGGCCTGACACCAAAGGGCAGTTTGAAGCAGTAACCCAAAACAGTGCTAGGCCTGGACCTCTGTCCCAGAGGCATGTACCTGGCAGCTCCCTGAAAGTGGTGCTGAGTTGCAGTGCTAGTGCTCGCGGCTCTCCTTGGTTTAAGGGCTCCTTCCTGGATGCTATATAATATTTTCTAGTGCAACAATGCTTGAAAGAAAGCAGTGGTTTTGTAAGAGCAGGAAACAAGGTGAATGCCACGGTAAAGGAGTTTGTCTCTGTGGGAGGAAGAAAAGTCCTCTTCAGAGGACCAGCCTTTATGGCTCAGGAGGATTCAATTCCTGTGCTGGCATGCACAGTGTGAAACACCCCTTAAGTATCTAAATACTGTTTCCTTGGTATCTGCTTTGGCTTTCATCTTATCTGTTTTTTTTTTTTTTCCTCCAGGTAATACACTTTCTTCACCACTTCTATCCTGGTGAAGGGCAAAAGGGTTTGATCTTTGTAAGATTCATTAAAATATTTTTGTGTTTTAAAAGAAAGCTGACATGTATAAAGAAATAAGTGCTTTTGTAATTTTTGTTGTATGATTCAACATTTAAACGTTTTACGGATGCAATTTTTTGCACTCTCTCTGCATATATTCGTAAAAGTATATATTTATTTTCGGTCTTTGAGGTTTACTTTGGGTTTTTTCTTCTGATGTTATAAAATACAGTATGTGCGACATTAAAAATTTAGCATAAAGACATTTGCCTCGTCTTGTTTTAATTCTCAATTTTCTGTCTTTAAACAGATTCTATGAACATTTGCTAAGAGGTGTTATGGAAACAACTTAAACAGATCTGGGGTTCTTGACGGGAATTTAAGGATGGAAGAGGGAGAATTGGGATACTAAATCTTAAATGCTTTCTTAAAAATAAACGATATCAAACTGCATGCGGTAACTCCTCTGTGTTACATAAGAGCCGTCTGGAGACAGTGGCGCAAATTCTGGTTCAGTTCCCATGTGTGGCCTCCGTGGCCAAAACCATCATAGCAGTATTGCCGTTTTCTCCGTGTAGGTAGGATGCAGGATGACCATATTCTCTGGCTCCTCACAACCTGGAGAATGTGTCCGGGAACTGGGGCAGAGCGGGAACAGCACAGAGGAGCCCGAGCTACTCCAGGCTATGGGGAGCCTGAACTGAGACATGATGAAACCCAGCCACGTAATACTGGGTTTACCTGCAAAGCCAGCCATGTAGCATCAGGTTTACATGCTTCACTCTTCTCTCCCATACCTCTGTCCTAACGTGCTTACAAGAGACAAGCACAGCTCTGTTTCTGAGCACCAGATATGAAGGGAATGTTCTCTACTAAATATTTCTAACTTAGTTACGTTTACTCAGTGGCACAATATTTGCCATCTAGATGACACAGTGTTTGAAAATTCAGCCTGTCGTCTGTGCTCCTTTTCGCTTCAGTGTATTATCTGAAAGATCTTAAGAGTTTGGCTTTGAGGGCGCATATTTGGGCTGTGGGTTGACGGAAGATCGAAGGTGGCTATTTCACCTGCACATGGCCTTCACAACAGTGTCACCATATTCTTGGCATGCTTCCTACAATTATTTAAGGTATTAGTGGCATCTTTTGCTTACAGACTTGCTATAAATTGGAGCCTTCCCTCAATTCAAATGTCCAGTTTTGGCTGTGTTCTGAGCTTCCCACGGGATGCAGCAGGTGTTGTTTATCTTACCCCAAGTTTTCAGGTCAGGACTGTATGCTTTCTCTACCAGCTTGTCCAGAGTAAATTCAGCACTGATGCTATTTTATTTAGACACAATAATTCTATTATTTTTTTTCTGTCAATGCTCTATTTTTGTTCTTTGAATGTGCTTCAAGGCAGTCACAATGCATCAGTCCTTACAGTAACATACAGGACATATTGCAGCAGACCAAATGTTTCCAGCAGAGCAGTTTTCCATCAGAGGACTTGCTGATTTAGAGGAACCAACACTGTGGTGGGGATTTGTCTGTTCTGTCAAACTCGTGACGGGAGCCAGCTGCTAGCAGCCAACATGCCTGGTACCCTGCCAGTCGACCAGCTGCTGACTGGTGGGCAAACAGTGTGGCTCCCCGCCTGGCAGATGAGTGAACTGCTGGATTCTCATCCAGAAACTTAAAAGAGTTCCAGGAAAGAAAAAAAAAAAAGAAAAAAAAAAGTGTGTGTATATATCTATATATACAGAGAGACATTTTTGAGCAATTACCAGTGGAGTAGAAATTTCAGATGCTCACAACTCCTGTGTAGTCATACCCTCTTCCATGTGCACTTGTTCTTCAGTAGAAAGGGGAACCAATTAACACATTAAATTCACTTACTTGATGTGCATGAGGTACTGGCATTCACAATTACTCCTGCCTATCCATAAATCTTCTGACAAACTTTGGAAAAACAAAACAAAACAAGAACAGTTACTGGCTTCAGATTCGATTTGATCACAGCTTCCACTGCAATTTCGTTCTTGTCCTTGTCATGGAGGTTTTTTATTGTTGTTAACCAACAAAATAAAAACATATCCCCTTTTATATCAGGGTTATTTATGGTTGTAACTCAGGATTTTAAACACCTCCCACGTCTGGAGCTTACAGAAGGTATCACTCCTCTTCCTAACCTATGTTTTTATAACAGCCGCCCACCCACCAGCAGCCACCCACACCCAACTTAAATGGTATCTTCAGCCCACGGCGCCTCCGTGCCTTGACAGGCATCATCCATGTGGTTCTCATAAAATGCCTCCCACAGTCTCGCAATGAGTGGGTTGGTGTTTTGACCCCGTGAGTGATGCCTGCATGCCCTAGAATTGCTCGCTCCCGCTGCATGGAGCCTGTGGCTCCTCTCTGAGGGGTTCACTACCCTGCAGCCCTCTCTGCTGAAGTCCTTGGAGAGCCTCTTCATCTGGGCTCCAAGCGGGCTCTGAGGTCTGGATTTATCCCACCGATGTGCAGGGTCTGAGTTTGGAAATCGGTCACCTTAGGTTCTCGTGGCAGAAAATGGGGAGAGATAGGAGCCCCTCTGCGAGGCAGTGAACTGCCTTTTGGAAGGGCCTCCTCCTCCCTAGGCAGAGGACACCTAATGCCTCCATCTCCGATGTCTCAGTTATGTGAGTTAGTTGTGGTTAATGTGGCTCATGGTGCTGAGCAGTTATGTCCTTATTTCCTAATGATGGGGTATTTGGTTCCCCACGCAAATGATCCCTTGCAATTACATTTTTGAGTAGCCTTTGAGGTTGATGCCAGCCAGGCGACTCCTTTCTCTTTCAAGATCTACAACCCTCCCAAACTGAAAACATTTTTTGTTTTTGGAAATCAGAAAGCACTGAAAATAACAGTAAAAGTCCTTGTGTTTCCTTAGGATATCCCAGTACTGGAAAACAAAAACAAAAAACAAACTCAGAAAACCCAACAACTTAAAATCACACTTTTCATAGCAAATACTTTCCACTTGTTATCAGCTTTGCTTCTCCTACAGGACCACTCTGACTAAGCTTCTCACCACAGGGCTTGGCATGAAGCAGTGAGCTTCATCTCCAGTCTCTGACACAGAGCTGCACAGGTTTCCAGTCCACGAACTCAATGCTGCAAATTTTTACTGTGATAGGTAACAGCAGAAAACCCTTCTTGTCCTTCTTTTCCCTAAACTGAACTTAAACAGGGACAGCAATTAAAACAGGTGTTTAAAGTAAGTCGCTGCACTGGAACACTCACTAGGTAGCAGAACTTGTGCGTAACAGTCCAGTGTTTACATCTGCTTAAAGATATGCCTGTATTTTTATCCAAAAAGTGAAAATTTCAGGAACTCTGACTTTTTAAACTGAGACTGTGAGAAGGTTTCCCCAGCAGGGATATAGTGAAGCCCTCGGAGCAAGAAAACTTCTGATCTTTCTCAGGCTGCAAAAGTTACTTCATTTGCCCTATAACACAGTAAAAAAAAAAACAAAAATCATTGTCAATGCTCTTATTAGCACAGCCCATTAGCAATTTTGTAGTTTGGCACTTTTGTGAGATCCATGCCAATGTCAAAGTATTTGACTTTGAGAAAGCCTTGAAGATTCGCCAGTTAGCCGGGAATTTTACAGGCCTTGGCTGACATACTGAAGTTAAACCCAGGTGAGTGCCTGGACCTGTAGAGCCCTGTGCTGCTGCCCTTTAAGGCAAGAGCACCCTGGCACCTCCAGCTGCTGCTCCTCCTGAAGCTCATCCTGGAAGCTGGTGTGCTAGGAGCTGTTGACTATCCCTTTGCTTGTCCCTATGGGCCACATTGCCTGGCTGAGTGTAAGACTGGGAGCAGGAAGTGAGGCTGTTCAAGAAGGGTTCAGCCTTGTAAAGGTGCCTAAGGGCAGATATCCAGGTATCAGAGAAAGTATCTGGGGACTTTGAGGGTAGTTTGGGTGTCTTCTGGGAAACTTGTTTTTTTCTTAACTGTATGTACTCTCACTTCTCTCATCTGGAGTGTTTTATTATTATTATTATTACTATTTTTTATTTTTGCGTAGTTACCTTGGACACTCCACGTGGAAGGGTAAATACACTGCAATGAGATTTGTCATTGCAAAGAGCAGGGGACTGTATCTGTCTGTCTCCTTGGGAGGCTGAGGCAGGACCTTCCAGCAGAGGCTCAACCAGGTGCTATTGCCCTGCCCTCGGTGTGGCCGGGCAAGGGAAATTCGCCTGGATTTTGGTGGTGGTGACTTGGCTTTGCTGGCTTAATGTTTTGCATTTTCAGCTGATGCCCGGAAGAGATGGTGTTTCTAGGGGTTTGTCAGCTGAAGAAACTTAATACTTCCACTACCAAATAAATTTTGTATGTAGTTTTACAGTGCCATTTTTGTCAGGCAATAGCACTAATGTGTTACATTTTTTTTTCTTTCTTTTTTAAAATAATCAGAATGGAAAGGAAACTTATGACTTTGCTCAGGTTGAGAATATGAACCCCTAAAATGCAGGAGAGCCGAGGCCTTCTGCAGTGTCACCTGCGAGTCTGGATGCAGTTGGGGAATTGGCGATCTGTGGCTTCTTGTGGAGGTCACCATCAGGTGAGTGATAACAGGGGTGCTCAGGGATGCAGTGTGGATGCAGTGCAAGGAAACAGAGCAGGGGCTGATGGCACTGCAGTGGCCTGGCAAACACCTGGCAAACACCTCTGAGAGCTGCGGCTTGGTGCTGGTTTACACCAACCGCTCCTGTCTCTGGGTTGCGTTCCCCTCATCCAGAGGTCCTGCAGTGGATGTGGCCTGAGCTTTCCACTGTGGGAAGAGGCCGGCATGCGGCATGGAAGGTCAGGGACAGCGGGCACAGGAAACTCTTTACCCTTCTCTCCCAGAAATTGTGTAATGGTGTTTTCTGCGGTAAATGTTTTTCTATAGTAACAATTTCCTGCAATAAAGTTATTCTTTTCAGAACGAACTTTGAAATGTCTAAACAAATAGCTGGTGATTCTGCAGTGCTACATGTAGCCTTGTCCTTGTCAATTAAAGTACCGGGTGCTCAAAGTTCCTAAG